GCTGTGGGCACAGCCATCTTTGTGACAGTGTGAGGGTCAATTAACATATTCCCTCTTTATTAGATAGGATGTCCCTCTTTTTCTCTAGTAACATTTTAATTTTAAAGTCTATTTTGTCTGATACAAGTATTTCCCATCCAGTTCTCTTCTGGTTGCTTTTCTATGGTATATTGTTTTCATCAAATTTGGGAGTTTTCAGCCATTATTTCTTCAAATTATCTTCTTGCATTTTTCTCCTGAGACTCCCATTATACATGTTGCTACAGTTGAAGGTTCCTACCGTCTTTCTTTATTTTTCTTTTTCCTTTCTGTAGCTCAGACTAGATAATCTCACTTGACCTATATTCAAGTTACTTATTGTTCCACCTGCTCAAATCTGCTGTTGTGTTTTCCTAGTGAATTTTCATTTTAGTTATTGTGCATTTCAACTCCAGAATTTCTGGGTTTTTTTTTTATAATTTCACTCTTGAATTATATTCTCTTATTTGTGGAGACATTGTTCTCATACTTTCCTTTATTTCTTTAGATTTGATTTCTTTATTTTCTGAACATAATTAAAATAACTGATTTAAAGTCTGCATTGTTGAGAGAGAGTTCATTTTCTTGGCTGCACCAGCCTGGAGTAGAGCTTCCAAAACACTGAACAGGGGAAAATGGGAAAGGGGAGCAAATCATGGCTTAATTCCAGGCTTGGCTCTTGAGAATTAGGAGATTTTCTTGAATAAATGTTTTTCCACTTGATATATGCCTTCTGATGATTTAAAAAAAATAATTGTCACTAGCTAAATATTTGTTTTGCTGGGGAGAGGATCCTCAACCCACCATCCTAGAAGTCCTGCTTCTGATGAAGCAATAAATTTTAATAGTGTATATTACATTATATAGTTTCAAATAATGCTTCTCAACCTTGATATATATCAGGTTCCTGGAATGCCTGTTAAAATATCAGATTTAGGACATTAAAATCGATTTCTTTTTAAAATTTGTCTACACTGAGTATGGTCAGCCTCACCTAAAACTAAACTTATTTAGTTTTTTTTTTCACCTAGAAAGCCATGCTGTGATTATTGATTCACCACAAAAGCACTCTGCTTTTTGAAAGGTATCCCTGAAATTTCTTTAGCTGTTGGTTATTTTGTTTTCTTTGGAGTTATATATAACCAGTGCTGTCAAGATAATGGTGGAGAAATGTTAGAGGTGTTCTATATTTTTTTAACTTTTTAAATTTGTTTTTTTGTTTGTTTGTTTAATAGATCATGTCTTGCTTTCCTGAAAGGGAAGCTAGGACAGAATATTAGATCTTAAAGAATATAACCTGGTGAAGTCAGCAGAAATATAAACAATTTGTAGTTGAAAAATTAAGTCTTTCATTATGTAAGTTTGTCATCCTTTAAAATTTTTTTGAAATACACATTTCTGACTAGAAAGTGAGTGACTGTATAGTTTCCTAAAATTAAAATTAATTTAACTTTAATAATGAATTTTTTTCTTGAGTAATGAACACATTAGAAATGGGGTATTTAAGTGATGATACTTTATTATTTTTTTGTTGGAATAAACTTTTAGAAATGAAAGTGGTGGTTGTGGGGCACTCAGCTCTCCTGACTGAAGGTTATTGAGCATTACTCCATGAGCGCTTGAGAGCCTGAGCTTGGACTGGCATGACTACCCTTTTAGTCTTGCCCTTATAGTTCTGTTTGCATGAACAGTTTTGCTCCAGTGAACCGTGGAAAACAGTAGGTTTGAAAAAGCAAAACTATTTGACCTAAAAAGCTTCTTGACCTTGGACTGTGCCAGTTTAAATAACAAATTTTTTAATTGGCTGATGTCAGTCATTTTACTTGTACTATTTTAGCTTCTATTTTCTTGTGAGCCTTGACTAATAATACAAAGTATCGTAAGAGGTGACATTTTAAAAGAGCACATTTTTGTACAGGCTTTCCATAGAATTTTTCAGACAGAAAAGAGAGGAAAAGAAGAAGGTGGAGGAGATGATGAATAGAGGTGGTATAAAAGCAACAGGTGTCAGTATTGCAGGTAATCCTTTAAAAGGGGAAGCTTAGATTATGTCAGTAGTGAGAAGTGCTCCTACTTTCATATTAGTGGAGTTGAAAGAGTCTATTATTATGAGAAAATAGTACTTTCAACATTTCAAATTGTTTGAAATCAAAGAGCTCTGATCCAGTTAACATCAGTTATTTAAGTACTTTTTCCTCAAATTATTATTCATCTTTTATCCATCACTTCCTGGGGTTATTCTCAGTTTAAGAAAAAGCTCCAGAGAGTAATTTAGGGGACCATAGAGTAGCGAGTCTAATTTCTGTACCAAGCAGGTTGGATCAGATTTCATTGATATTTGGGATTATTGGTTACTTAAACCAGCATATAATGTACTCTGAGAAGAGCAACATTATTAGTAGTAAAAATAACTCATGCCTGACATGTATATTTTTACATTTGCCTTGGCAACAGATCTACATTAAACAACATTTGGGGGGGGGGGTTTCAGTTAATTTTATTTATCAGTGTTCTTTGTGCTTTGCTATTATTAATTAATTTAATATTCCTAATAGTTTCATGCAAATGAAGAACCTGAGATTCTGAGAATAAGAGCTAGTGCTGTGGCTTGGATTTGAATCCAAGCAATGGTAGTGCAAATTCTGGTGACTCAACTTATAATAGAGATGTAATTAATTTAAAAATAGTGTGAAATGGCCCTGGCTGAGTGGCTTCATTGGTTGGAGTGTCATCCTGTATACCTATACATCCTGGTCAGGGCATATACCTAGGTTGTGGGTTTGATCCCTGGTTGGGGTGCATATAAGAACAACCGACCAATGTTTCTCACATTGATATTTCTCTCTGTCTCTCCCCCTTCCTCTCTCTAAAATTAATAAAAACATATCCTTGGGTGAGGATTAAAACAAAACAAAACATGCCCTAACCGGTTTGGCTCAATGGATAGAGCGTCAGCCTGCGGACTCAAAGGTCCTAGGTTCGATTCCGGTCAAGGGCATGTACCTTGGTTGCAGGCACATACCCAGTAGGGAGTGTGCAGGAGGTAGCTGATCAATGTTTCTCTCTCATCGATGTTTCTAACTCTCTATCCCTCTCCCTTCCTCTCTGTAAGAAATCAATAAAATATATTAAAAACAAAACAAAACAAAACATAAAATGACTTCCTTCATCACTCAGCCTTTTAGCAAAACTTTTTCATTTGTGAGTTCTGTTTTTTTAATCCTCACCAGAGGATATTTTTTTCCATTGATTTCTAGAGAGAGTGGAAGGGAGGGAGGAGGGGGAGAGAGAGAAAGAGAAAACTCAACGTGAGATAGACACATCGATTGGTTGCCTTCCACCTGCACCCCTACCAGGGCTGGGGAACGTGCAACTGAGTTACACACCTTTGATCGGGAATCAAACCTGCAACCCTTCAGTCGTCAGGCCGATACTCTATACACTGAGCCAAACTGACCAGGGCATGTGAATCCTTTTTTAATTAGTTGTCTTTCATCATCAGATAGTTTTTGTTTTGCTCTTACTCCCCTAAGAAAGGCTCCTGGATGCTGCATTCAGAGTTTGTTGGTGATTGATAAGCTTTACCTATTTCCTTGTATTAGAAAGACATCTTGGCTGGGTATAATATTCTTGAGTATTGCTATTGGGAAGTCTGTGCCAACCTGATACTAATAATAATTGGCTTTTAAATCTCCTTTGGGGTAACTAAAATATTCTTTACTTATTCTCGAAGGTCAGTAATTTAACAATAAAGGGTTGAATGTATTTAATCTGTATCTCATTTTTTCTGGAACATGGTGCTTATTAAATCTTATTTTTAAAACGATTTTATGTTGTTTATTTTTATTCTTTTTTTAAATTAATTTTTAGAATCCTCACTTGAAGATATTTTTTCCATTGCTTTTCAGAGAGAGTGGAATGGAGGGGGGAGGGTGAAAGAAAGAGGGGGATAGGAAGAGAGAAACATTGCTTGTTTGCCTCCTGCACATGTCCCAACCAGGGCCAGGGGTCAAACCTATAACCCAGGTACATGCCCTTGAATGGAATCAAACCCGAGACCCTTCAGTGCACAGACCAACACTAATCACTGAGCAACACCGGCCAGGGCACTCATTAAATCTCATTACTTTATCATTTTCAAGGAACTTTTAAAATAACTTTGAACAAAATTTTTGTTACCTTAGTTGAATTCTTTACTTTAGAATACTAATTATGCTAATTCTAGAGGGTCTGAAAGTATCCTCTCTTCCTTCATTTTATTGTGGTATTATTTCCTCTTTGAGTTCTTATTTCATTGAATGTTTGTTCTTTTTTTTTTTTTTTTTAGCAGCTGTTCTGAGTTTTCCTATTTATTTTGTTGAACTATAGCTTTAGGTTTTTTAAGTGCTTTGTGAGAGGCAGGGAAGAAAATGAGTGAAATTAAAAATTTAAAAACATATTAATAAATCACTTGAAGGGAAAGGTATACAGAGAAGTTTCTAACTTTATACTAAGGCCTTTTGAGTTATAAAATGCTGAGCTATTGCTGACACTGGAAAATCTTGAGAGGGTAAGAATATATAAAAGTAGTGACAGATAAGATTATGTATGTGTTTGTGCTTAATGCCTTGAATTTAAGGCATCAGTTGTGCTGCTATCTTTATTTTGTCATCTTTGAGATATATTGTCCAGTGAATAAACAAGATTAGTAGTACATCTAAAACACATTTAGTACATCTAAAGAACAATTAAAATACAATTAAAGCACAATTAAAATACATGGAAATACCAAATAAGCAGACTATAGAAAAAGCAAGTGTGTGCTTATAAAAGCAAATGTTTTCTGGGCACCTTACATCTTTGTTTTAGTCAACAGTAATTTTTTTCTTTATTTGAAACAAAATTAATGTACTTAAAAATAGAGCTACTTTCATTGTCATCTGACAACATGAAGTCCTATATATGGTTTTTAATAGATTTTAATGGATCTTTCTCCCTTACAGTGTTCACAGTAATGTTCCAACTCAAAATAATGGCTCTCAACAGGTAACTCTTCTTAATATTAAGCTTCTAAAGCACTAGAACACTGTACTTAATTATTACAGAAACTAGTATTTTATTAATTGAATTTCATGAGTTTTTTCTTTTATTTATCTCTAAAGTGACTCAGTAATGTGAAACCCTCTTTTATTTTCTCTAAGATGTTGTGAATAGAACAGGTGCTCTGTAAAACTTTCTATTTCTGTAAATCCTATAAAATACTAATATTCAGTTAGATTACTGTCTACAATGTGACCTATAACAGTCAAGCATTTATTTACATTATATTTGTTGACTATGTAGATATTATTCCATTGTAATGTTCTTTTAATTGGTGAAGGGATTTTTTTTATCTAGGCAAGATAAATGATTTTTATAACTTGTGTCCAAAGGCTTGGGGTATGAGATCTACTCTGCTGGGGACTTCTTCCATTCCCTCTGGTCCCGTGCTGGTGGAGATAGAAAACCTTCCAAGGAGTCCTGGAACAGACCAGCATGACAGGAAATGGTTTGTTAGCTCCTTAAGCCAAAAGAAAATGTTGCTTGCTTATTGGTATTATAAGTTCCCAGCTATAACTGTAGAGTGCTTTAAATGATTGAAAGCAAATTATTCATATTTGTAAGCTGAAGAGAGGCATATTATTAAGCAGTTACTGGGATGGGAAAAATAAGAGCTATGGATGAAGAAGCTCTGGAGTGCAGTTGTCTAATGAAGAACATCAGACAGCTCTCCTTACTTTGGTTAGCATGATCTGGGAGTTTTGATTTCAGTGATAGTCAATGGACCCTTTTCCCAGATCCATGAGGAAAATATGTTTGTTACATGTTATTCCATACAACATGGTGCTACTCTTTGGATGTGTTTTCTTCATTAAAGACTGTAGATAAAGGCATAAGAGAAACATGATTATAGTCCAATAAAACAAAGCATGAAATACTCCTGATGACAGGGAAGATACTTCATATGTTTAGATTTCCAGGGTTTTGTTTTGTTTTTTAGGTTGATAGTAAGTATACAAATATGGATACTTTGTGGCTTATTGGGTTAACCTGTGGGGTTCATTTTTTTCCCAATTAAATGTATGTGGCTTGGGGGCGCTCCTTGGGAATTATGTGATTGACTGGTCGTGTTGGTTGCATCATCTGTTCAAATTTTGTGTCTATGAAATGAACTTTGATAATTCATAGGATTTTTCTCTCTCTCCCTCTCTCTCTTTTTTTTTTTCTTGCTCTTAGTTTTACTACCTGAAATCTAATGAGTTTCTGTGGTGATCTCAAGGTTTTGGTCAGCTTTCTGTGCAACCAGTTCTTCCTTCATGGTGGTGGGTCCACAGTGGTTGGTGATCATTTTCAGTCTTTCCTATGTAATTGTGTTTTGCTGTTATTTTGGCTTAACTAACTGCAAGGTGCTTTGCTCTTGATGGTTGGGCATATTTTTACTTCCGTTCCAAATAACTTGATTAGTTTCTGAAATTGATGGCATCTACCCTATTATTTTTTCTTTCTACTTGAGAGTGTGGTGGGGAGGACTCTGTGTCATGTGGGCACACTTAAAGTATGAATAGTGAGGCTTCTAAATGTCAAATTTTAGTCTTTTTTTTTTAAGCCATTAAGAGTTTTTTCAATTTCTTATTGAAAACACAGCTCCAATAAGCAGCTATGTTTTATCTCCTTGATGTTATCACCAAATCCTATTAGCAAGGGAATGTAATACTTCTGGGACTTCAACTATAAAAGAATTTTCTTTCTTTTTTTAAAATATATTTTATTGATTTTCTTACAGAGAGGAAGGGAGAGAGATAGAGAGCCAGAAACATCGATGAGAGAGAAACATCAATCAGCTGCCTCCTGCACACCCACCACTGGGGTTGTGCCCGCAACCAAGGTACATGCCCTTGACCGGAATCGAACCTGGGACCTTTCAGTCCGCAGGCTGACGCTCTGTCCACTGAGCCAAACTGGTTAGGGCAAGAATTTTCTTAATACATGCTTACCTTTTATACTACTATGGAACAAGAGTCTGATTTCTTTGCATCCTGTATTGTAACACTAAATCTTTACTGAGGTTTCCAATGTTTATGCACACATATTTAAGTCTATTTAACTCCTTTGGGGCAGCCTTTATAAAGAGAGAATATTGAATCTGAGCATATTGACTTAGAAGAAAAATGAAAAATTTGGAGCTGTGTTTCCTTCCTTTATGTAATTTTGCTGTGACCTCCCTTGCTGAAATGGAGTAAAGTGATGATCTTTAAAATCTAATCAGCCTCAGAGTATGTCAACAGTGGCACGGAATAATACAGAACCGACGTGTCTTGGCATTAATGGATTCCCCAGCCCTAATTTAAAATGCATTCCATATTTCATTCTTTGTTTCTGCATGCTTTGATTCTTAATACTTTTAAATGACTATAAAAGTCCTCCTTTAGAAAGTGATACATTAATAACATTTAGAAATGCTCCCTAGGTTTGAACAGTTGGGCAGAATAATGGACTCTTTTCTGTTTCTGGCAGACAACGTTTAACTAATTTTATGTGAACCTACTCTCTATTCAGTTCTTTAGCTTTTTCTTCCTAGTGTCTTGTAAATGACACCATTATTGCAGTGAATGATTTGGTATAGCATTAACTTAGAATTATCCAGTATGTATCATCCTTTGAGATACAATTCTTTTAAATCTTTAAACTATTTATTAAAAAATTGAATAATATTTGGAGAACATAAACCTAATTTAATTTCCTAAATTTTCAGAGACCCTGTATTGAGGGTCATGAATTTTATGGGTTATATCTAATGAACAAATTGTATTTCAGTTGAAGGAAAGAAGATGATTTTATTGTAAAAAACTTTTAGCCAGTTTTTTCAGTTTTCCTAAAGAAAAATGGTGAATATTTATGTTTTGGTTGAGTTAGAAAAAATACTATATTTAAATATCTTTAAATATCTTTTATAATTGGGGTTATTTTTTTTAATTTGTAGTCATCTTAAGTATATGCTGCCCTTTTTTGCCATGTCATAAAACCCTGATTTTCTGAACCTTGGTAAATGTTTTCTTTCTACTGGAGGACTCTGATAATTTCTAACCAGGAATTGCTTGTATGCATGTTTCACTCTCATAGTTCTATAGGCCTGTTCTATAGCACTGTGTGTAAAAGGCATCTAATACAGTTATTAAATCTATTTCTTGGAGGGGGCTTATAATCTCATCACATTATCTGTACCTGTTGAATTTCATTCTAAGCTCCCGTAAACTTTGATTATAGAAGGAATAATGGTTCTCTTGTTAATTGGGAACATAGATGTAAAATTACATGGCCTCTCAGCATAGATTTAAAAACAAAACAAAACACACCTCATTCTGAATTTTGTTTCCTGGATTTCACTTAATTTGTGAGCTCACTTAATTTGAGGAATAATTTTCAAAATTGCCCTTTTTTATATGTGCCTTTATCTTTATGTAGAATTGCCCTATGACATATTTTAACTAAGTTGATTATAAATACTATTTATTAGAACCTCACAGAGCATTTCTGCCTTGATTTTGATAGCAACATCAAGGACAGATACAGAGTGTCTTGCTCTCTATGAAATTTTTTCTTTATTTAATTCACTTAACAGACTGATTACTTATACATATTTTCATATTTACATTTTCCACTACATGTAACTTTGTGGGATTTCCCCACCTTTGTTATTCTTGAATGTGCTTGCATGGAGATGTTGATAACTGCTTGTAGCAGTGGTGCATGCTGGTCATTCTCTTTTATTACCTCTTACACATCAATTTTCTCCTATTCCTATGGACTAACTGTGCTCCCCTCCCACTCCCCAACCATCCAGGCTCTCTGCTGCCAGTGACTGCTGCCAACGTGGTGGAAACCAGTGGAACACAAGGGCCTTATCCCCGCCCCAGCCCGTTCATAGAAACTACACTGACTTTGTCCATGAGCACAATGTGAAGAATGCAGGAGTCCTCCATGATGTTCGTTTTCCTGGCCACGTAGCCATGACTGATATATGAGTGTTAAGCCTCAGAGACCTTGGGACTCTGTTGTGCAAGTTGATGGTATTTGTTCTCTAGTGTTTATTGGGGATTGATCATATTAGGAGAATTTGGGAGAAGTTATTTTATATTGAGTTACTAGTCATGTGGTGGTGTTTGTAATGGAATTCTATGGAAGGGAAAAGGATCTGAAGAAGCTGTATGCCATCAGTGATAATGACAAATGTTTTTGTGTTGAAAGGGCATGTATATCATTGTAATTTTAGAAAGGTCTTTCATGATATTAACATATTAACATATCACTCATAAGATGTCCAGGAGAAGGTTTGTGTTTGTGAACAAGCTGCCCATTTTTAACCCATCCCTTGCCATCCAAATAGATTGAAGTTAAAAGAATTGAACACATTAAAGGCACACAGAAGGAAGCATGTCCTGGCACAATATATCAGTCTTTACTGATATTTTTTCTAAAATGACCATGACCCATGCCTTAATTTCAGTTAAGTGCCCAAGATTTTATACTTTCAATTAATGTTTTTATTTAAAACACTTATTTTTTTAATAAACACAGGTATTTTAATTTACTGAAAGGTCTAGAAATCACATTAATAATGTGAATCATGTAGGGAGATAAATCTGAATGGTTACTTTTGCATCATTAGCTACTTAACCAATGGTTAACTGAATAGTTCTATTAATACTGAATGGTGGTACAAAATGGAAAATTTATTTACTTTTGTCTTTTCAATTTTCTCTTTTATCTCATGTATCTGAAAGATTTCCTAGGTTTGCAATAGTCATATAATCTGGCCCTCTACAACCTTTAAAATAAAAGTCTGTATCACTTTTAAATGGATTGGGTATATTACTATTTTTGATCCTTTATGAACTTCAAAGTACAATTATTCAAGCTCTTCGTTATAGTTCATAGAGGCAAACTAACAGAAAAAAAGTACATTTCTGATGTAATGATAACTGATGTAAGGGAAGCAATTCTTTTATTTTTTTACAGTTTTAAAAAAAATTTAACAAAATTTTTCATCTTTTAAACTATGTATATAGTAATTTGAAGATATGTTATAATTTGGGAATTTATAATACTTCAAGATAATGAAACTTTATTTTAAACAGCCTAACCGGTTTACCATCCTGCTTGCCTCAGGGGTCAGTCTTACCCCTCTTTGTTAGAAAAAGGTAAAGGTTTCAGAGGACTTTATTAGTGGACTGTTGGTTGCAAATATAATATAACTTGTATAGAAGACATAAGTTAGCAGAAGTAAATAATATTTAGTTATGAAATTTGTAGGCAAGTTTCAATCTGAGTTTATCACGATCATATATGTATATGCCATGGATGCTCAAAGTATTCTTTAGTGCAGTGATGGCGAACCTTTTGAGCTCGGCGTGTCAGCATTTTAAAAAACCCTAACTTAACTCTGGTGCCGTGTCACATATAGAAATTTTTTGATATTTGCAACCATAGTAAAACAAAGACTTATATTTT